CATTTGTTTCTTAGAATAGTATTGCCTCCTTTCTACATTAGAAACAATTCTGGTTCAAACAGAAACTGTGGCTTCTAGAGGCTGTCTGTCCCCACTTATGCAGTCATAGATGTAGCTTGCTTACCTCATACTATCTCTGAGTCTCACTAAACTCTCATCCATCATGGGTCCCCTGGAATTTTGTGTTTGTAGGGCATCTTGAACTCTACACACGAATGGGGCAGCAAGTATGGCAGACATATTGCACATGTTCCAGTGCCCCAACAGACTTTAATTACAAAACACAGGTTAAAGATAACATTATTAAGAATTTCAAGGTAGCAAAAGTAGAAAATTAAACCAAGTGTGGGGCTTTTCTGAGCACGAGGCCTTATTCAGTTGCACAGGTGTCATCTCCATGAAGCTGGGTCTGACTTTATAACAAAGCACCAAGTTGTCTTCCAATATGGTTGTACCATCTGCATTCCCACCAGCAAAGTCTGAAAGTTCCAGTGATCTCCCTCCTTACCAGTAATTGGCAGTGTCAAACTTTTTAGATTTAGCCATTCTGATAGATACATAGTGATATTGCATTTTAGTTTTGATTTGCATTTCCTTAATGAATAACTATGTGCTTATTTGACACCGGATATCTTCTTTAGTGAAATGTTTATTTAAATCTTTTGCTTATTTTATTTTTACTATTTTATTTTGAGGAAGATTAGCCCTGAGCTAATGTCTGCCACCAATCCTCCTCTTTTTGCTGAGGAAGACTGGCCCTGAGCTAACATCCGTGCCCATCTTCCGCTACTTTCTATTTGGGATGCCTACCACAGCATGGCTTGCCAAGCAGTGCCATGTCTGCACCCAGGATCTGAACCAGTGAACCCCAGGCCACCAAAGCAGAACATGTAAACTTAACCGCTGTGCCACCCGGCTGGCCCTAGCTTATATTAAAATTGGGTCGTGTTCTTATTATTGAGTTTTGAGAGCTCTTTATATATTCTGGATATAAATTCTTAATCAGATGTGCTTTTTGTGGTTTGTTTTTGTTTTTGTTTTGAGGAAGACTGGCCCTGAGCTAACATCTGTTGACAATCTTCCTGTTTGTTGTTTTTTTTTTTTCTCCCCAAAGCCCCAGTACATAGTTGTACATCCTAGTTGTGAGTCATTCTGGTTCTTCTATGTGGGATGCTGCCATAGCATGGCCTGATGGGTGGTGTGTAGGTCCATGTCCAGTATCCAAACCAGCAAACCTCACACTGCTGAAGCAGAGCATGCAAACTTAACCACTCAGCCATGAGGCCGGCCCCTCAAATGTGTTTTTAACAGATATTTTCTCCTAATCTGTGGCTTATCTTTTCATTTTTGCAACAGTGTCTTTTGAAGAGCAGAAGGTCTTAATTTTGATGAAATTTATCAATTCCCTTCTTTTGTGGTTCATGCTTTTTATGTCCTAAGAAATCTTTGCTAACCAAAGGTCACAAAGATTTTCCTCTATGTTTTCTTCTAGAAATTGTTATAGTTTTAGGTTTCACATTTTGGTCTATGATCCATTTCACATTAATTTTTTTATATAGTGGAGGTAGGCTTTAGGTTCAGTTTCTTTGTATATGATGTTGAAGTGTTCCAGCATCGTTTGTTGACTATGTATCTTTCACACCATTAAATTATCCTGTCATCTTTCTTGAAAATCATTTGACCATATATATGTGGGCATCTTTCCATACTCTCTTTATCTATATCTCTTTCCTTACTCCAATACCACACTGTCTTGAATACTGCAGCTTTATAAGTCTTGAAATCAGGTAGTGTGAGACCTTCCACTTTGTTTTTCTGTTCCAAAATAATTTTGTCTATATTATGTCCTCCGCATTTCCAAATAAATTTTAGAGTATGCCTGTCAATTTCTACCCAAAAAGTTGCTTGAGTTTTAATTTGAATTGCAGGGATTCTAGAGATAAATATGAGATAGATTGACATCTTAAAAAGAGCAAGTCTTTTGATCTACGAACATGGTATATCTCTCCATTTATAAGGTCTTCTTTCATTTCCCTCACCAATGTTTTGTAGTTTTCAGTATATAATCTTCCACATTTTCCTTAGATTTATTCCATAATATTCATGTTTTGATGCTGTTATATTTTTAAAAGTTTCAATTTCTAATTGTTCATTGCAAGTATATAAAAATATAATTGATTTTTACCTTGTGACCCAGCTAAATTCACTTATTAATTTTAGTAGATTTTTTTGTGACTTTCTTGGGGTTTGTGCAAGGGACATGATCATGCCACCTGAAAATAATGATAGTTTTTTTCTTCCTTTCTGTTCTGGATGCCTTTTATTTGTTTTCTTGCCTTATTTTTCTGACCAGTGTGTCCAATACAATATTTAACAGAAGTAGTTAGAGCAGAGATCTTTCCTTTTCTCCTCAGGGAGAAGTAAACGTCTTTCACCATTAAGTATGATGTTAGCTCTGTTTTTTTTTTCCCCCTAGTTTATCAGGTTGAGGACATTACGTTCATAATTTGCTGAGTGTTTTTCTTTTAAAATCATGAATGGATGTTAAATTTTTTCAAACACTTTCTCATATACTAATATGATCATATGGTTTTTCTCTTTTAATATGGTGAATTACATTGACATTACATTGATTGCTTTTCAAATGGCAAACCAACTTTGCATTTTTTGGAATAACTCTGTTGATTATGATGTAGTAACTCACTCTTAAACATGAAAGAGCAGACAAAGATCACAAGACATTTGAAAGAAGTCTCTAACTTGAAAGATAAGAACAAAAGAAAAAAAAGGCACTTGGAGGAAACAGAATACAATGAGGAGAGAAAATATTAGAAAGTATCATTGGTACCTTCAGAGAGAGAAGAAGATATTGCATCCTAGGAAAAATAACATAACACTATATATTCTTAAAAAGATCATTCAAAGAACTTAAGCTCCTAAAGATATAAGATTACAACATCAACAACAAAAAGATGACATTAAAATATTTCCCAGAAAGTAGAGGGGGAAAGACAAAGAGAATTAAGTAGGAAGAGTATCAGAAAATGAGAGGTACAGCGTGTGATTAACAGTAACTCCACAGAGAGAGAGTAGAAATACTGAGGGACGGGGCACAGGCAGAGGAATCAACGGAGTCATATTACAAGAAAAGTTCCCGAAACTAAAAAGCCTGAATTTCCAGTGCCCAGCAGAATGATATCAAAAAGACCTATATTATGCTCATCACTGTGATATTTCAGGGCACCATGGACAAAATGGACATGGATCTCAAATGTTCCACTGAGGAAAAAGAATTTGCATATAAAGACTCAGGAACTGGAATGGCATCAAATTTTACAACTGCAACCTTGAAAGTTAAGAGATAAGGGGACAATGACTGTAATATTTTGAGGGAAAATAATTTCCAATATTATATTTAGAATAAATATATTTTTAGACATTCAAAGGGTCTACTGGAGGATGTATTGCATCAAATCAAAGGAGTAAACTAGACAGAAAAAGGCATAAGACACAGAAATAGGAGATCAAACACACAACAAAGATAAGAGGAATCTTAGGACAAAGATGCACAGACATTCCAGAGCCTACCTATGCAGTAGGCCTAGAGAGCAACAAGCTCACGCGGGAGCGGAGAATGCAAAGCTCAGGGAAGAAAGTATTCAAGGTGAAAAAAAATTTGTTAATTTGTCAAATGTGTCCAGTCCTACTGAGAGTAGATTTATGTTTTTAATCAACAGTTTAAGGATGTTTAGCTACATAGAAAGCTAAGCAAACAAATAAAAAAGAGGTAATTATTGACTCTAGGAGAAAAAGAAAATAGTACAAGAAAATGAATATACTGAATAGAAATAAATATACTGATAACACTATGTGACAGTTTTGTGTAATTACATGATCATAATCATTATAAAGGCTGAATATTGACATAAACAGAAATTGTGATAACTGTATTAGAAAAACAGGAGGAATGGAAGTCTAATGGATAAAACATAAAGCTGAAAAATTAAAAATATAATTGTATTTATCTAGCAAATGTCTAGAGAATTCTTACTGTGTGCTAGGCAGTAAGTGCTTCACTTACTATTAAATGCTATTCATTTAATTCAAATTGGTCCTATGAGTTGGTACAATTATTGATTCCAATTTGCTGACGAGGGAACAAAGTCACAGGAAACTTAGTTAACTTCCCCAAGATCAGTGGTTCTCAGCTGGGAGTTAGTTTGTCCCTCCTTGGGACATTTGGTAATGACTGAAGACAGTTTTAGCAGTTACAGGTCGGGTGGGAGTGCTGCTGACATCTAATGAGTAGAGACCAGGGATCTTGCTACACACCCTACAATGCACAGGGTAGCTCCCCACAACAAAAAATTATCTGGCACAAAATGTCAGTCGTGCCTGTTAAGAAACACTGCCCAAGATGAACAAAAATGGTGAGTGGCAGAGCTGGGATCTGAATTCTAGCAGCTCTTAACCACCTCAATACGCTGCTTCTCAACAGCAGCCTAATGACGTTACTTAGAAACATGAAGGTTAATATCAGAAGAAAGAGCTGGGGCCGGCCCAGTGGCACAGCGGTTAAGTTCACACGTTCCGCTTCTAGGCGGCCCGGGGTTCGCCGGTTCGGATCCCGGATGTGGACATGGCACCGCTTGGCACACCATGCTGTGGTAGGCATCCCACGTATAAAGCAGAGGAAGATGGGCACGATATTAACTTAGGGCCAGGCTTCCTCAGCAAAAAAGAGGAGGATTGGCAGTAGTTAGCTCAGGGCTAATCTTCCTCAAAAAAAAAAAACAAAAAGAAGAAAGAGCTGGAAAAGTTGAAAGTATTTGCCTCTATGGAGAGAGAACCTGGGGTGGGGAATAAAGGCCAGTAGACTTTTTTTTTTTTGAGCGTTGTCTGTCATTTTTTGGGGGTTTTTTTCTTTTAAAAGATCTGAAAAACTACTTGAATTATACTATATTTATGCTCAAATGTTAAAAAAATTACAAACATTCAAATCATAGACTATTTTCAGTTTAATCATTTTTTCCAATATTTTAGAAGTATTTAGTAAAATGCAGCTTATAAGAGTTGTTTCTCAGTGAATTTCGGTTGAATGAATGAAAAATGTTCATGGAGGACAGAATATACAAAAAAAGAACTTTCATCTTGACTGACATCTTGTAGATCAAGTTCCAACTTGCAGTATAATAATGCATTTCAGACAGAAAATCCTGAAGATCCAGATTCCTAATGGAAAAGCTATTTCAGACCTTATTATAAGCAAACATGAAAAAATAGCTTTATTAGATGATAGATTACTATCATTACATATATAAAAGCATCCGTATTAAAGGAACAACAAAGTTATTTTAAAAAACATTTAAAGCAAGTAAAATAAAGATGACACTGTTATTCTTAATAACTATTTTAAAGTTCATAAATATCAAATAATCTTTTAAAATCCACATAGAAAATACAAATCTAACTTGGAAACTCACCCACTCCCCAATATCTTGTACCAGTAACAATATATCTTTAATTTAACAGGCTAACCTGCGAAGAAAAAACAAAGATACTAAGTCCATGTCACTACTATGGCAATGTATGGGATCAGCAGATTATCTCACTCTACTCTCAGAGGAAACAAGAGCTATCTGCAAGACTCTTCCCATCTCTACTTCCTTCCTCACATCTCTATTTTCTTTCCTCAGGTATCTTTTTTCCTGTTTAAGGTTCTCCACATGTGCCTTTTTTTTCCTGACTAGGTAATTTCATGTATTTCAAAAACCAAAAAGACATCGACATGTATACAGTAAGAAGTGCTGCTCCTGCTGCTGTCCACATTCAGTCCATTCCTCCCTGTCCTCTACAGGTAACCATTTTTTTCCCCCTTTTTTCTCCCCAAAGCCCCGGGGTACATAGTTGTTCATTCTAGTTGTGGGTCCCTCTAGTTGTGGCATGTGGGACGCCGCCTCAGCATGGCTTGATGAGCAGTGCCATGTCCGCGCCCAGGATCAGAACTGGTGAAACTGGGGTCGGCCGGGTGGCTCAGCGGTTAAGTTCACACGTTCTGCTGCTGGGCTGCCCGGGGTTCGCTGGTTCGGATACTGGGTGTGGACATAGCACTGCTTGGCAAAAAGCCATGCTGTGGTAGGCGTCCCAAATAGAAAGTAGAGGAAGATGGGCATGGATGTTAGCTCAGGGCCAGTCTTCCTCAGCAAAAAGAGGAGGATTGGCAGTAGTTAGCTCAGGGCTAATCTTCCTCAAAAAAAAAAAAAAAAAAAAGAACTGGTGAAACCCTGGGCAGCCGAAGCAGAGCGAACTTAGCCACTTGGCCATGGGGCTGGCCCCAAGGTAACCATTTTTAACAGCATGAATCTTTTCAGTATTTCTTTATGTAAATACAAGCAAATCCAGATATATCTGTATGTATATACATATATATTCTTTTCTTATATTTCCCATATGCATTGTTCTATTTCTTGCTTTATTTCACATAACAATATTTTGGAATAAAATTTAATATGTTAGCTAAAGTCTGGCCATCTTAGAGATACTCGTCACTCAACAAATGAGAAAATTTAAACCAGAGGGATTATATTGCTATTAAAGATACTGACTACCATAATAATTATTTAACAATTATTAAATAATTATTTAACAATTTTTAAAAGGTTTTCAGTTTTCAGATACACTGAAAGAAAAATATTTTTAAAGTCAAGTGTACACTTTCTACATCTTTAGGATTTTTTTTTTTAATTACTACCTAAGCCAACTTAAGGAAAATTTGTACTATAATAAAAAGCATGTTTGGAAACAAATTCATAATGAGACCTAAAAATATCCCTTGTATAAAAATAAATCAGTGGTTTTAAATGTTGGAGAGGATGTGGAGAAAAGGGCACCCTCATACACTGCTGGTGGGAATGCAAACTGGTGCAGCCACTATGGAAAATGGTATGGAGATTTCTCAAAAAATTAAAAATAGAAATACCATACGACCCAGCTATCCCACTACTGGGTCTTTATCCAAAGAACTTGAAATCAACAATACAAAGAGATCTATGCACCCCTATGTTCACTGCAGCATTATTCACAATAGCCAAGACATGGAAGCAACCCAAGTGCCTATCGACTGATGAACAGATAAAGAAGATGTGGTATACATACACAATGGAATAGCACTCAGCCATCAAAAAAGACAAAACCGTCCCATTTGTAGCAACACGGATGGACCTTGAGGGTCCGATGTTAGGCAAAATAAGCTAGACAGAGAAAGACAAATACAGAATGATTTCACTCATATGTGGAAGATAAACAAACACATGGACCAAAAGAACAGATTAGTGGTTACCAGAGCGACAGGCGACTGGAGGGGGTGGGTGAAAGGGGTAAAGGGGCACATACATACGCTGACAGATTAAAATTAGACTACTGGTGGTGAGTACAATGCAGTCTATACAGAAATTGATAAATAATAATGTACACCCAAAATTATACAATGTTATAAGACTTTACTATTTCAATAAAATAATTGGGGAAAAAAAGAAAATATGCTGAAATGTTAAAAAACATTAATCACATCAGGGTGGAATTATAGTGATCACCCCCCCATTCTCCAACCCTACCCTACGCAGGCCCAACTTCTTTTTCTTTTATGTACTTACCAATTTTCTATCATAAAATGCATCATTATGTTTCATAATCATTTAAAAAATTGCTAATTCCACCCGAAAAATAAAATAAATAAAAATAAATCAGTGGTTTTAATTTGGCTAAATTTTGTATCATTTTCTATACTGCTAAACAGTAATTACTTAAAATTTAAATAATATGCTGCTCTCTCAAAGATTTAACTTTCTTATATTTTAAAAAAATCATTCTTGATATAGTCAAAGATCATAAAACAAATGCTAAAAGCCTAACGAACCACATTGAAATCAAATTATTATTTTCTTTTCTGAGGCAGAGTCACCCTGAGCTAACATCTTCTGTCAATCTTCCTCTATTTTGGATGTGGCTCACTGCCACAGCATGGCTGACAAGTGGTGTAGGTCTGCACGTGGGAACCGAATCTGGGCCACCACAGTGGAGCATGCCGAACTTAACCACCAGGCCACTGGGGCTGGCCTGAAATCAAATTTTTTCAACAAGATTTTAATGGAAAGCTAAGGAGCTTAGAATTTTGTAAATAATTAAACCTCTCCACCTTTCTTTCTTCCGTCAATTTCCCAGCCCCCACCCCCATGCAACTTGGACAGTTTGGTTAGAAACACATTTGAGTGGAGCTCAGAGGGGGGACTTGGTAGAGGAGAGAAAGAAAAACATAGTGCATAACAACCGTCCGCTGAGTTAACCCAGGAATACTCCTCTTCACAGGGCTTCACAGTCGGGCTGCTTTGGCCTGGACCTGTGAAATGAAAGGAGAGTGTGAGTTTCTCGGTGGCCCTTTCAAGATTCTTCCCAAGAGCAAAGCCTGTTCTGTTCTACATTCACAGGAAAATCACTCTTCTATGGTCAAGGTGCTTGAATGAATGGTCTTCTATTTCAATTCAAAATAATATTATCTTTGAGGTATATATTAAATTTGTTGGCCCTCTTTTATTTCAGTCGAGAAATTATTTTGAACACAGGGAGATGACCTAGCACACAATCAGAAGTCATTGGACAATGTCTGTTTGAATTTATTAAGGCATATGGACATATCCTTGTCTTAAATAAAAGACTATAGAGGGGCCAGTCTGGTGGCACAGCAGTTAAGTGCGCACGTTCCACTTCGGTGACCCGGGGTTCGCCGGTTCGGATCCCAGTGCAGACATGGCACCACTTGGCACGCCATGCTGTGGTAGGCGTCCCACATATAAAGTAGAGGAGGATAGGCATGGATGTTAGCTCAGGGCCAGTCTTCCTCAGCAAAAAGAGGAGGATTGGCAGCAGATGTTAGCTCAGGGCTAATCTTCCTCAAAAAAAAAAAGTGTAAGAAATATTTGTCAGCTGTAAAAATGAAAGTAAAAACAAATATCAAATCCACTTATGAAAGAATAGAAAAGGTAAGCCAAAAGTAATCTCTAGCTCTTTCAAAGTCAAAAACAGTCCCTTTTGGAAGGAGAAATTTTAAAAGTTCAAGGCAAAATAGCTAATACATTTTTGTTTACGCTGTTAGAAGTACAGTATAAAATATTATTTTCAAGGGCTAGATGCCAAATTACTAATGTAAATATATGCTTTTCAGAGAATGATGACAACAGTAGTATGAAACAGACAAAATTAAGCGAGAGTTTTTGCACATATCGTACAAATATAAATTTAGGACTTTGGTTTTACCAAAACTATACAAACCTTAACTTCATTCATGATCATATCAAATTAACTACCTTGGTTCCTCTTTGTTGTCCCCTCCAAAACAGGCCTCTTGTGCTTTTGAGCTATTACATTTTACTTGGCTTAATCTATAACTAGAGCAAGACTGAAATAATCATCTGTGTCATCTAAAAAAAACACACTTATACAACACTGTCGGGGGGGAGAGAGAGAGGCAGTGGCCTGGCACTGATGACCATCAAACAGAAATTGGGGACTAAACCAATGGACCCTGAAAGACTAGTAATTTGACAGGAAATTTCAACAGTAACTGAGAAACCAATGATACTTTACATAAAATTTAACCTTTTGTATGATTTTTGCTTTTTAGTTGATAACATACATTTATAGTTTGATCTTACTACTGTGGGTATAGTTGAACATGTTATTAATCCAATTGTTGAGATGATAAAAAGAAATTAATATATTATTTTATAAAAACATTCTATCATTAAAAAGCAATTCATTTAAAGTTTGTTTTAGGGCCAGCCTTGTGGCCGAGTGGTTAAGTTCTGGGGCTCCGTTTCCGGTGGCCCATGATTTTGCTGGTTTGAATCCTGGGTGCGGACATGGCACTGCTCAATGAGCTATGCTGAGGTGGTGTCCCACATGCCACAACTAGAGGGACCCACAACTGAAAATACACAACTATGTGCTGGGGGGCTTTGGGGAGAAAAAAGGAAAAATAAAATATTAAAAAAAAATTGTTTTAAATTAAAATAGCTCATAAAGTTCTTGCTTGTTTACTTAAAGATTCATGGAAAAACTTATTGTTACTACATCCATATAACCTGTTCACTCTACTCTTACCACCCACTAAACCTTAACTCTGCCTGTAGTACCCCCACAGTGGGGATACTCAAGTAGCAGACACTGATGATTGCCTAAATAAACCAATATCCATTTCTTTCTTTTTTTTTTTTTGAGGAAGATTAGCCCTGAGCTAACATCTGCTGCCAATCCTCCTCTTTTTTGCTGAGGAAGACTGACCCGGAGCTAAGATCTGTGCCCATCTTCCTCTACTTTATACGTGGGATGCCTACCACAGCATGGCTTGCCAAGCAGTGCCATGTCCGCACTCGGGATCTGAACCGGCAAACCCTGGGCTGCCAACAAGTGGAACAGGCGCACTTGCTGTGCCACCAGGCTGGCCTGGTATCTCTCTTATCTTAATTAAAGAAAATGGTACTGATCTCCCACTGCATCCTCCTGCGATATTCTGCTTATCAGAGTCTGGCTGTTTGCTGAAAGAGGGGGCAGGTGATCGCTCAAAGCATCTATTTGAATGCTTTTTACATAGAAGTGCTTTTACTTTTGGCTGAATAACAGGGAAAGAGTATCTGTGTGAGTGTGTGTGTCTAGGGCGATGACAGTAAAAGGACAGGCCTGGCATGGTGACTACCTTCCTTCACCTCTATTCACTTAAAATAGTTAAGTTCAGAGACATTGTGATATAATGATCACAAACATCACTGCTCCAAGAACCAGGTGACAAAGTGTGGCAGAGTGGTGGCCTTGCTTCTGCAGTTGAGCCCAGCCCAGCTCTGGCTCATCCATGGGAGCTTTGGGAGCACTGAGAGAAAATTCCCTTGACACCAACCCTGACTCTCTCAAGGAGGGCAGGAGCAGTGGTGGAAGTGACAAGCTCCCTACTGCAAGTAATGTTCAGGCATCAGACTTTCAGGAGGAGGTTTGAGTACAAGAACAAAGACAAACATTACAGAGCATGTGTGAACTGTCTCTTGGAGAATCCTGGAAATATGGGGAGTAGGTGAGGCATCTTCAGGAGTCTGGGGGTCCTATGGAACGTAATTTAATGTAGCTGGAATCCAATCCATAGCCCAAGCTGGTGAGAGTTTTAAAGACAGTGATTTTTGGCTAACAGACACTTTAACTCTTCATCTAATTCAAGTTGCCATTGGTGGTATTGAGAAGGCTTTTCCATTAAGAGAACTGGACAAGAGAAAGGAGGATCATTCAAACTACAATGAAGCAAGAGAATGCTTATTGACGGCAGAGTAATTGGAGTATATTCTCTGACCAAAGGGAATAGAGTTTATTCTTCTTTGAGTTCATATTAATGGCATAGTTTAGTAACTGTTTCGAGAGGATAGAAAAGTCTCTTTCTCTTCTACACTTCAAGATTATATATGCAATATTAGCATCTCGTCTATTCTCCCTCCCCCCCTTTCTCTCTCCCTCCCTCAGTAGAATAACAAGAATAAAGAGATCAACCAACAATCAACAAAGATTAATATTTTCTGAACACATTGCATATAAGATATTATGCCAAGCTCTTTAAGGGGATTTTTCAAAATAGAGTAGACACTCTATTAAGCGACTTTCACTTAGTCAACTCACTAGATTAACTAATGCTGGCTGTTCCCTCTGTAAAACACACAGGCTGACGCCTGCAGCCTCTGAGTGGTTACCAATGGGCTATCTCATAGTAATCTGCATATTTATGCTTCTTGCGCCTGAGTTATGACTATCAAGAGCCATTCATTCCTTGCCCAGATAGTATCTGAGTGCCTACTATGTGGCAGGCACTGTTCTAGGAGCTAGAGACACAGCAGTGAATAAAACAGGCAAAAGTTCTGCCCTTATGAAGCTTACATAAAACTCAGTTTTTAGTTTCCCAAACTCTTAATGTTAGTTAGTCTTGCTAATGTAATTAGGTAATTTAATTTCTACATACTTTATTAAATGTAAGTGCAAAAGATATTTTTCCTATTGAAGTTAAAAAATGGTTAAAGTGGTAAATTTTATGCTATGTATATTTTACCACAATTTTAAAAAAATGAAGTTGCATGCTATGGAAAGACAAATTACTGCCACAAATTAACCAGAGGGAAGAAAACTGGAATATTTTACACAAATATGGAAGTATTCTAACTTATATTATTTCATGAGTGTCCTCAAGTTCTACATTTCCTTTAACAAAAACCAAAACAGAAAATTGTAGATTTTGCATTTGGAAAGGGTTTATGTAAAAAAGGCAACCTGGAACTCTCAGCAGCAGATTCACAGTCAGGAAGGCCCTGGCCCAGCATCAAAAGATTGGCTAATGAATGTATAATGATAAGTTTTTAGTAAAAATAAAATGCTTAAGTTACATATGTATCATTTTTTATAGTTCTCTACTTTAATTTTTTAGATGGACTAAAGAACTACTCATTCTAACAGCTTCAACTCTCTAAGACGAATTTCCTTTCTTCATGTCCTTGTAAAATGGGGCAGATTCAGCATTTCTCCCGTTTATATAAATATCATAAGTCTGGATTTGGCCCTAAAGTGACGGCTAGCTTCTGTAGCTAAGACCATTTCATCCTAAGTTTTCTATTAGTCATTATAGGGGAAAGGGTAAAAATCAAGGCAATTAACTTTTAAGAAATATTTTACAAAGTGATGCTTTGTTTTATTAAACACCCCAGCTCCACCAAACAAAGCCTTTAATGATCAACTTTCTTGCACAGCAGCTCCCTCCCATCAGACCGTGTGAAATAACCCTCTTTAAAACAGAGCACAAACGAGAAAGCTTAACTTCTGATTTGGTTTCCATTTCTGGGAACACTCAAAAAAATCAAAATTAGCATCATGAATCCTAAGGCAAGTCCCTATAGGTCAGATTTAGAGACAGCGTATTCCTATTTAATTACTTTTTGTATGTTCAAACATGGATAAGTTTCAAAAAACAGAAGGGTTATGCTTGTTTGCCATACTTCCTTCAACCAAACTGGATAGGCGGTTACATAACTTGCCAGGACAAGTAGTAGAAATGAGTCAGAGACAGAACCAGCCCTAGTAAAAATTGTGAATTAGGCAGTTTGACTTCAGTGCCACACCCCTTCAGTACTACATACACTTCCCTGATCCCCTCCCTTGGTATCATCAGCCCTGGGGTCACCCTCATACCACATACCTCTCCCCCACCAAATTCCTGTCTCTCCCTCTCATTCTCTTCACTCACACCGAAACTAGTTTCCCCTCTTTCCTCCTTCCCCTTCATTAATTAAAATTTACTTCTCCAGTATCTCTCACCCTCAGGGTTTAATGTGATAACTACCTAATCTGATAAACCAATCCACACTAATGTGCAAAGCAAGCAAGCTGGAAGGTGAAGTGAATTTTAACTTGACCTTCTAAAGTTAACACCTTTGCAGTTTCACTCGTTAGGAACTAGAAGTGAGTATTTCCAGCTGAGGCATTCTGGATGAGGGAAATATTTTAGTTCGGGTAGAGCCAATAAGCACCTGCCAAATCAAGTGGGAGCAGCTGAACGCTTTTAGCCTAACATGCTGCCAGCCCTGATTAGGGTAACCAACAAGCCCTGGTCAGTTTGGGGCCGGTAGGGATAAATTGGAAAAGAGCTAAGAATCTGGTTGGCAAAGAAAAGTGAAAGTTATAGGTGCATCACAATTAAATTTTTCTGACTTCACCATTCATAGGACTAGCTAGCCCTGGTACCTAATAAATATGTTCTAAAGTTTCTCTTCAGAATGAAAGAGATTATTTAAAAATTTTTTCTTAATAAGACTAAAACACTAACTCCAAATATCTGCACAGCTTTCGTTGTTGCTGTTGTTTGATTCTTAAAAGTAGCGCTTTAAAGTTTACCAATCGTTTTCATACACATATTTCATTTCATCCTGTTGAATGCTGAAAGAACATCACAGGCTATTATGCGTGGAACATGTCCACTAGTCTTATTTCCGCACTGTATAAATGAGGAAGATGATGCTCAGAGAAGTGAAGTGGCTTGCCAAGATTTGTACTTAGATCTTCTGGTACAAATGCTGTGCTTTCATTGTACTGAGCTACCAGGCTGCCTCCCAACACTTAGTTATCTGTGCCACTGTGGTCACGTAACTCCACATCCTAGGGGAATTCTCACATTTTAAAGAGAGTTCAGCTACTACCAAAAGAAAGTAACCTATTTATTCAATGGACCTGAGGGTAACTGTAGTCCTATCTGGTTTCCATCCTGCATTTTTTCCCTAGCTAATTCTCGGTTCACTTGGAAGTGTTAGGACTGCCTCACAAAGTCTTCCTTAAGCGCCGTCAGAGTTTGTGCTCCAATTACCTGCTCATGTTTTAGTGGATAACTTATCTTGCTTCTGCTTCTCACCTGGGCCAAGTTCCCATCACGGTCCTTACTCTGTAAGCAAGAAAGGATAATATGTTTCTGGGCTTAAAGGCGGAAAACACTAACATAGTTGGTACAAGCAGGAACGCACATATTTCACACTGAGATGAACACAAGAAGCCAGCTGGGTAAACACCGCTATTTACAGATTTAGATTAGCCCAGAATTCATTTCAACCTTTGAGGGGAAAGGTGGCATGTTTAAATCATTGGCATTTAAAGCACACAATCTTAACATTTTGGAGAGATATAAATCCCTTTTCGAATTTGTCAAAACATATGGATGCATTCCCTAGAAACCTGCACAAATACACATACTTGGAATACAGTTTCCAGGGGTCCATTATGGGGTGATCCATGGGCCCCACATAAAATATTCCTGACTTAAAGTGTGTCACAAAGATGGCCCCTAAGCGATGAAGATTCTGAGGCTCCTGGGCCCCTCGGAAGCCCAGTTAAATTTGTGTTATGGTTAGCTATCTAATTTCTTTACTATTAGTAGTGATAATCCATGTTGACCTTTTCTAACAAAAGTAACACACACTTGTTGTAAAGATTCTAAATAAAAGCCTTGCAGAAATGCAATGTTTTCTGTAATTCTAATCCTGAGAAACCACTGTTAATAGTATAAATATTGCCATATATAGATACTTGTACATTTGAACAGAAATCAGACCATACTGTACAACTTGATTTTGTCACTAGATAATATATATGAGTGGACCATAGTTTATTTAATCCTTCCACTATTATGGACATTTATTTTGTTGTTAATTTTATGACTACTAACAACACTGCGATGAATATTCTTGATCATATCTCTGGTCATGTATATAAACATTTCTATAGGATAAATTTCCAAAATGGGATAAATTAAAGGATATAAACATAAATTATAAAAGACATTGCAAATGCACTCCAAAATGGAATAAGCCAACCTATAATCCTACCAACAATCATGGGACGTTATCTATTTCACATATTTTCACCAATACCAGATACAGTCATGGTCACACAATATTTCAATCAACGACAGACCACATATACAACAGTGGTCCCATAAGAATAGTACTGTGGAGCCTGGGTGTGTAGTAGGCTATACCATCTAAGTTTGTGTAAGTACACTCTGTGACGTTTGCTCCACAAGGACATCACCTAACAAGGCATTTCTCAGAAGAATCCCCATCATTAAGCGATGCATGACTGTATTGTCTTTAAAAATATTTTTCCAATGTGATAGTTATACATGGTATCCTACTTTTGTTTTAATTTTTCTTTTTCTACACAGTTGTTTTATTTTCAAATACTAATTGCTTTTCTGAATTTCTTTTGTAAATTTCTTATTCATTATTGTTTTTTATCACTATATAGAAGCTTTATATTTTACATACTAAAATTTACAAGTTCTTTTAAGGTTTTTGGAGACAACTAAGTAGCTGCTGCTACCACCAAAATAAATTTCATATGAATCAAAGAATAAACTGATCAAAACAAAGCCATAAAGGTTCTAGAAGAAAACAAGGGAGAATATTGTTGGTAACAAAAAATAAAATGGCTTGTAAGCATACAAAAAGGTGCTCATAATAGACATGAAAATTATAGCTGTAATGAGATAGCATTTTGTACCTGTTAGATTGGCAAAGGTCAGAAAAGTTTGATACTGCTGTGTTGGTGAGGGGAAGGGAAACATCGTGTTCTGTCAAACTTTCCAATTGTGCTGGATGACTATAACTTGTACTGCTTCTCTGGGGGCAGCTTGCTTTTGTCCATCAAAATGTAAAACGTGTATACTCTTTAATCCAGAAATTATACTTCTAGAAGCTCAACCTACAGCTTTATTCCACATGTAAGCCAGGATCAGGTACAAAGAAATGTATTTCACTGGTAAGGAATGGCAAAAGATTGAGACTAACCTATGTGTCCACTAAACAGGGAGGAGTTAAATAAATTACCCTACATGTGTAAAAGGATTTCAGTCTAAATGGAACTGGAGGATATGAAATGGAGAATCTCACACATGCGCCCTCAGAAGAAGGGAACTGAAGAACTCAGAGACTGATTCCTCGTAAACACCTGGTTTATAGAAGACCGAAACTTATCTCCTGACCAATGAACATCCATCAAGAATCTCTCCCCAACCTCAAGAAAATGAACTTATTGTTTGGACTCTGGCTGGACTTCTCCCTCTTTGCCTTCCTTGCCTATAAGTACAGCCTGCCCCAAACCTTCAAGGGACTCGCCTGTAGATTGCTACAGCACATGTTTCCCGAATTGCAATTCCTGTGGCATTCTCAAACTCAATTTCTGGTCATTTGAGCTTGCCTCAGTTTACTTCTTCATTTAGGTTGACACATCTAAGCAACAATACTATGGAGCCATTCAAGGAACCAGGCCCATGTACAGTATCTGATAATAGAGATCCAAGGGCTATTAGGAAGTTAACAAAAAGCACGGTATTATATGAGTATGTGAGCTAACATTTCTTTGAAAAAGGATATGTATCTGTGTGTCTGAAAAAATACACAAGAAATAGCTAGGTTTGTCAACATCAGTCATTAAATGATTCACTTTTCTCTGTATCCAGTCAACCACTTTATCTACTGCTAATCATTGTGATTCATCATTTATTTTAATATCTTTTAGTGAGATTCCTCATTTATTTTCTTTTTTAGAATCTTCTTGGTTATTTTTGAATAGTTAATCTTCCAAATGAATTTTTAAATTATTTTCTCGAATTCTGAAAAGTATTCTGTTAGACATTTGATTAGAATTCTATTGGATATGAAGATTATTTTTAAAAGATATTATACTTATACAATGTTTGAATCTCGGTATTTAATCTAAAAGTATATCTCTTCTTTATTCAAACATTTTCATGTCTCATAAGTTTATCATTTTTAAAGTGTTTTACTAATTTCCTTTAGTATTATTTTAAGCTATTTAATTTTTTGTGGTTGTAAATAGGATTATTTTTATCTTTTATTTTCCAATTGGTTATGGTTTACACATGGGAAAGCTTTTGATTTTTGCATTTAATTTTTATAACTGATTACCTTAACTCATCTTTTTATTGCTTCTAAAAGTTTTTCAATTCATCTTTGGGGTTTTCATATCATCTGCAAACAAATGAAAATCCTGACTTATTTTCAGTATTTAATTTCTTATTTCTATTCCATATCTAATTGCACTGGCTATCATTTCCGTACAGGGTATGATGGGCATTCTTGCCTTGTTCCTGACTTCAAGGGGATAATTATAGTGTTTCATTATAAAGCAAGTCTCTAGCTTTGGTATAAAGCATACATTTTTAAATTATCTATTCTAAATTCTTCAAGTTTTTATTAGGAATGATGCTGGATTTTACAAATCCTTTTCAGCATCAGTTGAGACGCTCATATAGTTTTTCCCCTTTGACTTATTAATATAGTCAACTATATGAATAAATTTTCTATTACTGAACCATTCTTTATACCTGACATAATTCCTCTTAATTTTGGCATATCATTTGTAATGTAGTTCTGGGTTCTATTTGTTAATATTGTATTTTAATTTTACATTATATTCAAAAGGAGATTAACCTGTAGATTTCTGTTTTGTGTACTCTTTATCAGGTTTTGGTATCGCAGCCATTTACTTTAAAAACAGCCTTTCAGCTCATACAAAACAGAAGGATTCCTGGTGAAAAAGCCTTGAGGGCAACCACCTGAAATGGCCTTAATGCAAAAAAAAAAAAAAAGCTCACAACACTGTGGTTTGTCTACGTTTGTGAAAATTTCCAACACTTTACTCTTTATACCTTCTTTCTGACATGAATCCACAAGCTTTTCCAAGTATTAAGGACATTGCTTTTCTTTCCAATAAAAGTGTGAACTTCCTTTCAGTGGCAAACAGGCAGATGTTCCATGAAGGTTTTATCCTCACAGACCTACCTCTCTCTCTCCCCTACATGAATCAGAACATTTATAAACTTTCATTTAAGAAAACGGGGGAGAACTGGGGAAAGGGCTCCAATCCTTCACTTCTGTCTCCAGTTCAACTAGCCTGATCCTTTCACTGTTATTTACTTTCACCACTCTACTCCCGCTCTGCTCTTTAGTTTTATGTGTGCCCTTCAACCGTCTTCCTCATCTTTGCTTCACTCATCTGGTGACCTACCTTCAAAACCCAGTTTAAATTCCCCTCCCCCACAATCTGACTAACCCAGCCCATTCCACATACCATAGACCTTCTCTCATTTACTACTGTACTCAACGTTTGGCTGTACATTCTCGCTATAATTGTTCTCAAATTGTTTCAAGAGCAATCGTTTTCCTTCCTAGGCTCTGCGGTTAGCTCCTTGAGGGCAGGGACCTTATCTTACAATTCTGCTGTGCATTTTCTATTGCGTTTAGCACTGTGAGTTCTCATTCAATGCACATGCGCAAGGCATATTTGACTGAAGACATCCATCACAGTTATTCACTTAGTAAATGAGATAATGAAAACTCAGCGCTGGCCAAAGGTAAATCATTACTATTAATTCGCTTATTCATCATACACGTACAGCAGCCTCAGGGGCTGGGAGCCTGGGTCTGCAGCTTTAACTCTGCCTCAGAGCTCCCCACTTTGGAGCCAGCCATGAAGTTTAGATTCACCCACGGCTCAACACTAGGGGTTCAAGACTAAATTTGCCCCCTGGTCCCCTTCCCAGATGGAGGAGGTTACCTTATACTTCTGAGAATAAACTCAATCTTTTGAAACACAAACGACAAGATACCATTTGCTCATGAATTCAGCAAGACTTCCTTGAAAATCGTTGAAACCCAAATCTCTTAGCTTGCAGGATGGGAATAGGTGCTGGAGCGTGCCTTTGCCAAGCTGTAATGTATAGTCCTAGATAACAAAATGGATGTTCTTTATTTTATTCGATTATGTTAAACCTTTCAAAGTCTTTAATTTTAGGATTATCTTAGTTTCAGAGGGAAAATAACAGGACAAGAACTTATATACTGTTTTTTGGAAAAATACGAGAATTTGAGTTTTCCTGAGGGCATTTGGGGTTGATGATGTGCTGCCGCCACACCGTTGAGGATCACTTTACACCTGTGGGAAAACTCACCGAGCTGTTTTCGTTGACCCCGCCATTTCCAAGGTGCTATATTGTTGCAGGGGGTTGGCACCGCTTCTCTCTCTTTCTTTCTCTCTGTCTCTCTGTCCCTCTCTCCCCTTCTCACCCTTTCAAAGCCCGAATCCTGGAGGCAGGCGAGAGCACCGGGGAGGACGGGTTATTTAGATTGATAAGGGGGAAGAGCCAGCAGTTAGGCATTCTTCACTCTCCTTGGCACACCCCAGGGCCAAAAAGAACTGTTTCTGAAGTTGGAAGTGTGGGGGCGATCGGCTGCATTTTTAACTTGGCGTGAAATTAGGAGCCCACGCTGCAGGGGCTAAGAACTTTGCTGCCGTGCCATCAACCTGGACGAGGGGCTGGCCAGCAGAACGCAAAAGCCAGGCCTAAGGCACCGGTTGTCATAGGAACCGGGGCGCTGGTCTCCCCGGCGACTTCGTCCCTAGGGAGGGGGCGGGGCTGGAGGCCCGGCGGGCCAATGAGGCCGCAGGGAGCGTAGGGTTGGAGATCCGCGATCCTCTCGGAGCCCGGGAAGGGTTGAGTGACAGGAGCGGGGGCGGGGCCGGCGCGGCCGCTTGAGGTGGAGCCGGACTGGTGCGAGTCGCTCTGGCGGCCGCGGCGCGGCGAGGGTGACACGCCATGGTCTGGGCCCCTAGAGACCGTCGTGTTGGCGAGCCGCGCTCCCTGGCTTCCCGGTCCGCCTCAGCCTCCCGGGCAGCGCTCGGAGCCGGCTGCAGGGGCTGAGCCGCCCCGCGCCACAGGGTCTTGGCGAAGCGGTCGGAGGCGCGCAGAGCCCAGGAGGGTGGAGAAGGTGCCCGAGCGCTCGGGGGTCAGGCGCTCGGCCGGCCGGGGTCGCCGCGGGAGGGGCGTTTCCAGGCGTGGTGGAGGAGGAGGAGATGCTGCTCCGCTTCTCCCCCTCCCCAGGCTACTTCTCCGGCTCCTTCGGCCCACGCCCGCAGCCGCTTGGGGAAGAAGAGGGGGTGGCTCTCGGCGGCCGCCCCGACGCCGCGTCCCCGCAGCCCTCGGCCCGCGCTCCTGCAGCAGGACCGCGTCTCCGGACGAGCGGGTAAGGACCGGCGCGGCCCGGGCTCGGCGCTGGAGGGGCCGCAGCGCAAAGCAGAGCACACCGCGCTCGCTCGCTTCCTCTTCTCTCTGCTTTTGCTCCAGCCCCGAAAACCAACTCTTCTGGAGGGAACTTTTCTTTGGTTTTCGTGGTGGGGTGTTTTTAATGTTCGAGTGAGGGTGGGGTGACCGGGCTGGAGAAGGATGAGATAAAGTTTAATTGTGAGTTAGGTAGATCCACCTCCTCCGCGAGGGAAAGCTGGATTCTTGGGAATGAAACCCCAGAGGGGAAGTAAGAGATTGTGGGATAAGATGGAGTGACATTGCCCCATCGTGCTAGTGCAGCTCTGCTCTGTGCGTGCTGAGGGAAGGGCTCCCGGAGTCTGTTTCTAATTTCTGTAAATGATTGTGGACATGGTGTGGTTAGAGGCCGCCCAGAAGAATGTGTATATGTAAGGGCTCGAAGGAGAGGGGGTGGGGTGGTGGGGAAGGGAGGCAAAAGGAGAGACACTGTCTGATGCAAGCTCTTTTATTGCTTTTCTCCTCCGTGCTCTAGTTAACCGCCCCCCCCCCCCCCCCCCGCCCCGAGCTCATTACAGGGTACTGTAGGACAGAAAGCTGGAAAGCTAAAGTTGGGTAAAGTCAAGAAAGTTCTTAGGAAGCTTAATTTCCCTCTGCTGTGAATATAGTGGAAAAGGGGGAATGGGGAGAAATATTACCACTAAAATAGGTTTACAGCAATGCAGTTTCATTTACACATATACGATCGACGCCTCCACAAACTTCCAGCTAATCTCTTCGACCAGCCTTGTGTCATTTTCGTTTAATTGCATCTTTGAAACAACAAACGCGGTGACTTCATAGGGAGCTGCCTGGAGCTGAGTTTACCGCTCAGAAAATGGGGCAATCGGGTTTGTTTTCAAGGCGGAGATCTAAACAAAATGTAGGACACCTGATCTGTGGGTTGAGGGCATTGGTAACTAATTAGCAAGATTTAAAATTTTTATCTACAGAGTTTACTAAAGGATGGGAAAAAAAATGAAAGTCTCTATTATGAAACGAGTCTTGGTATTTTCCCAAATTCTTGATGACTGGGTTGGCAGGGGCAAAGTGAAAACTTGCTTGGTGCTATGATACGAATTATTTCTCATTTTAATATCATTAGGAGCATTTTTTATTAAGTTCATGCATATATTCAGTAAATTCATATAGGGGCAAATTGACTGCTTTATCATCCAATCCTAAATTTATTATGCTTTTTTCGTAACATTGTGTTCTAACTTTGTTCTAGGGGCTTTGTGGGAGTAGCTGTGGGGGAGAGGGTAGGATGGTAGCAGGAATTAAAAACAGAAAAATATCTAGGGTTAGTTATTAAGAAAAGGAACTAATTTGTAGTATCTTTCAGTTTTGCAATTAGAGAATTAACAACTTCCTTTTCTGTGTTGTAGGTTTGTCTTCTGAATTTACATTTGTCCCACCAAAATTTTTACTTGCGTATTTTTTGGAGGGTGATTACCAGCATCCAAAAATATTTATAAATAGCTTTTCATGTCACAAGTAACACACACGTACACAAACCATTAAAACCAGTGCTAATTAAAGGATAGCTTTCAATGCTATGACAGGAATCAAAAGTTGTAAAACTTAGATTATCTTTTCTGGAGGCGTGCCCCTTAAATGCGGGACGTGAATGTGAGAATTAGCTCGTCAGTTGTTGTGGGGTGGATGATAGGTGTCAATCTTTAAATGAATGGAATTTACATATTTTTTATTATCAAGAAAAACAGGGCAAATCCTTGCTTTATTCCACTTTTAATAGGTTAACGATTGGCTGGGGGAGCAGTTTACTCAGTTGAGTAGTATCTGTTTTTCCATCTCATCTTACTGCCCAGCCCCAAACGCACTGGAGGAAAGACTACTGGGGATAAGCTACTTGCTGCTGCTTCCTTTTTTTTGACAGAGTTTGTAATTTTTAAATAAATCACAAAACATGTTTTGTGGTATAGTTAAACTGGAATTAATACCGTTTGAAATGGAAAAGAAACACTACTATACTCCAAGCTCTGTCAACATTTCTTATTTTGGAATGTGCTTTGGGAGAAGTCTGTATCAATTGGAAGTGTGAGTTGAAGGTATTCTCCTAGCCTGCCTCTGAGGTAACCAAGTGTGACCCATTTGAGTTACTGTAACTTTACAAGGTAGGGGCCTAGCAAAGGAGAAAAGATGTTGGGTCTCAGGACAGGAGGGTTAGTGCTGATGGGAAGGGTGACAGTCTGTTGCTCTGGTTTCTCCTTTTTTCTTGGAGAACCTTTCTCTCTAAATTTGAAAATTAAGATGAGTTGATCAACTCAGGAACTGGATTTTAAAAAGATAGCTTTTAATGAATAAATTAAAGTAAAAGTTGCATATTCTCACTGTCAATATGTCACATCAAAACTGTGGTCTGTAAACTGCTCTGGGAGGAAGGAGTTCCTGTGGCCCTGGGAGTCTAGGGAGCAGAATGAAAACATCTTTAAGACCCCTGTCTTATTCTTCCTGTTTAGTGTCAGGCGCTGTGAATAAGCATCTGTCCTGTCCTGTCCGAAGAATGTGTGACTAGCTAATAACTTGTGAGGCAGTAGGAGACCAGTTGTTTAATTTAGGATTAAAAGGCAGCAACTCCTAAATGGTCTCCTTATAGAGGCTGGTATAGATTTGAACCATAGACCAACATGCTTTTCCTGGGATGTGCCATCGGGTGCTTAGGAAATACAGGAACAGGCATGCGTTTAAGTACCTCATTAAGTGCCTTTGCCTTGTCCTGTGTTCTACCACTGAATCCTGCTTTTTCTTTTTTGTTTGATTTCAGTGTGAAAATTTACTGAAACAAACTTCCTCAGAGAGAATCCTTCTGCTGAAGTATAGAGAGTGTGGATTTTATTTTATGACAAACATGTCCAAATCCTAGAGAACGTTTTAAAATTTACCTTCCACATCTGTAAATAATTTAATAATATCCACCTCCTAAGGTAATTTGAGGATGAAATTAAATAATATATGCAAAAGTGACAAGCGCAAGTTGACACTCAATGTTTAGTTTATTTCCTTCCTTTTTAATCTCTTTTATGTAGCTAACATTCAGTAATAACGAAAACTGATAGTTGTCTACCCAAATCATTCCTGAATGTTGAGAACATGTAACTCATATTTAGCCCTCAGCAGTTTCAGGATGAATCTGTGTTGTCGAAGGCCCTCTTTGCCTACCAGCAAAGAAATGTCTTGGGTTGCATTCTGCAGTGATGCTTAATAAACAGTTTCTTATTTTCTTTCTAGTTCATTGGTACTCAACCCTGGCTGCACGTTAGAATCACCTGGGTAGCTTTTAAAAATCTTTATACCCAGACTCAGACCAGACCAATTAAAGCAGAATCTTTGGGGGTGAGACTCAGGCATCCATATTTTTGGAAGCTCCCTAAGATATTACAACGTGGAGCCAACTTATGAACCAGTACTCTAGTCCTCTCTAGATGGTGAGTATGGAAAATTTGATTCCCACAAATGCAGCAACATTTTTATGTTAGTCCTTTCCTCTATATAAATCACAAGAATTAAAAAAAAAAGCCTGTGTCTCAGAGGCATCTATGTATATGCCTGTCTACAGGACTTTTTACTATTTGAATCAGAACTTAAGGTACAAATATTTCCCTAGTTCCTTAAAGCTGCACTGTCCAGTGTAGTAGTCCCAGCCACATGTGGCACATTTTAAATTAATGTAATTAGATACAATTTAAAATTCAGTTCCTCATTCCCACTAGCCATATTTAACTGCTCAGTAGCCACTTGTGGCTAGTAGCTATTGTATTGGATAGCTGAGATATGGAACATTTCTGTCACCACAGAAAGTTCTGTATTACCTAGAGGTTTTGAAATTTGTATTCTAATTTCTCATCGTCTGAAATGGAATATTATGTATATGTATAGTCATTTGTTTCAGATATATAATTTTAAATATATATATTATTTTTGAGTAATAATGGTTTAAGTGAGGAGAAATACCACATTTTCGTATTTTATTTTACCATTCTTCAATCTGTTGTACCTAGTTGTAAAGTTTTCCTTTTCAAAGTTAACTGAGAGGAGGAATTTTAGTGTCCTTGTATTTATTATTTATATCAGTATGCTCTGAATCTAACCAACGGCTTAATTGCCCTTGTGTACTACAACAGTTTCAGGTCTGGAACTAGAGAAAGTCACCATTTCAACTCAAGTGTTGGGGTTTGGTTCAAGGTATTCCTATCTGGTGAAGGTTTTTTTTCTTTTACATGTGGAGACTCTTAATTGTCCTATATGATTGAATTTTCCA